AAATAATGGATTAAACGTGTTAAGTTAAAGAAGGAATATCACCTGATAATAGAAACAAAAAATTGCAGTTGCGGTTTCAAATGTTGCCACTGTGAAATCACTTTTTATTAACCAAGGCGTAGGCTGTAAAAATAATTAAGATCAATCGGATAAATCAAAAAAATTCGCCTACTGGTACCTACCTATTGGTAGATTTGGTTATAACCTGTTTATTAAACAGTGTTTAATGTAGGTATCGTTTATATCCTATGCATTTTAAGCTCGATCTTCATTTTTCTTTAAAAATATGTTTTTGTACTCGGTTTAATTTTATTTTTTCACTATACAGGGTGTCCGGAAATAATGTAAATACACTCACAGGCAAAATAATCGATCCACACAAATTTTCGATCAATTTCAATCGCAAATAACTTTTTTACTCAATTTCGTATTTAAACAAATATTAAAAAATATTGTAGATAAATTAATGGAAATTCGCTCACAGTTTAAAAATTACTAAAATATAGTCGTACGTTTATAATATACAGGTTTAAACAAAAAGATCAAAATCATATATTGTTCCAAATTAAGTTTTAATTATCAAGTCACATCTATTTTTAACAGTTTTGTTTTTGGTTCACCTTGATATATTTATTTTTGTGGAAAATATGGATTTTTAATAAAAAACATGGCTATTTCCAATATTTTTTCTGTACGAAGAACTAAGGTTGCTATGGTCCATCCATAGCCTAAAGAGGATGACAGTGACAGTTTTGTTGAATCATCCCATACTTGGTCATATACGGCTTTCAAAAGCTATCAAAATATTTTTTGTAAATTAATGTGTTCATTTTGAGGTGTCTTCTTACTTTTAAAAATGGATATGTCTCCGACTGATGTTGCCCTTTATACTTTACTTCTTGTGACGTTTAAATCACTTGCCACGAAATACTGTGCCCGTCCATCCTTAATTAAATCAATGGCTCTGGCAACATCAGTCGGAGACATATCCATTTTTGAAAGTAAGAAGACACCTCAAATGTTAAACATTAATTTGCAAAAAACAATTTGATAGCTTTTGAAAGCAGTATATGACCAAGTATTATTCAACAAAACTGTCATGACAGCTGACTAGTGCACTGTTATCCTCCATAGCCTATGGATGGACCATAGCAACCTTTGTTTTTCGTACAGAAAAAATATTGTAAATTGCAATGTTTTTTTAAAAAAATCATATTTTCCACAAAAATAAATATATCGAGGTAACCAAAAAGAATAGATGCGACTTGGTAATTAAAACTTAATTTAGAACAATATACGGTTTACCCACTCTACAGAGTGTTTTAAACTAATGGTAAAAAACTTCTTTTTATTTAAACCTGTATATTATAAACGTACATTATTTTTTAGTATTTTTTTTAATGTGAGCGATTCTCCATTAATTTATCTATAATATTCTTTAATATTCGTTTAAATCCGACATCAAATAAAAAACTTATTTGCGATTGAAATTCATCGAAAATTTCTGGAAATCGATTATTTTGCCTGTGAGTGTATACAAGGTGTGTTCAAAAAATAACGGGAATTGTTAAATTTCAGCTAATTTTAGCTGTTTTCATTGTTTACTTTGTCTGTGGCAGCCGCTAAGGTTAGACGTGTTTTATGAGCTCGGCGATTTTCGTTCGTTAAAAGAAATGGTCTTTGATCCATTTGTATCCAATTTTGCTTAAAAAATGAAATAAATTCTGTGAAATGTTTACAAAGGCCTATAGTGAGTCTGCTAAAAGTAAAAAAGTAACAAGCACATTAACAACCGATAAAAACATGGAAAAAGTGGAAGAAATGATTATAAACCATCAGAGAAGTCGCTGATGATGTTGGTATATCGATTGGCTCATCACATGAAATTTTTTCAAATGTTTTGGGTATGAAACGCGTGACAGCAAAATTTGTTCCAAAATTGTTAAATTTTGAAAAAAAATTTCGGCCAAAAACAATACTGTAATGATGCCCCAGCCTCCATATTCGCCAGACATGCCTTTGCCTGACTTTTACCTATACTATAATTCTGTCGCCGGTTAAGAGCAAAATGGCATAAAGGCCCCAACTTTATTGAACAAATTATTTTTACCGACGAAGCCGGTTTCAATAGGGATGGAATTATTAATTTTTACAATACATGACATGATTAAAATCCCGGATTTTAAATCCGCATGCCTTTATTGCATCAAGGCACCAGCAAAGATTTTCTATCAAATTTTGGGCAAGAATAATTGGCGATTTCATGATAGAACCTCACATCTTACCAAATCGACTAAAAGTTGAAACATACTTGTATTTTTTCCAAAATGTTTCTACAGGGTGTTATGTAATTAATGTAATATATTAAAATACTGAATACCTTTTGACATAAGGAATAAAGGAAAAATATTTAAAAAAACATTTTTCCAAAGATAAAGAAAAAATATGCATTAGAAGTTTTTTATATTTTTTGTGATACGCCACTGGTTACACACTTGTTTATCTCTGCACACCTGTATTTTGTGAGTACATAGATACCAACCAACAAAGTAGCTATGCGTTGCCAGATGTAAAAAATTGTTACTAAAAATTTTTCTTGCAAAAAATAAATAAAAACTCAATAAATACAAAAGTTTTATGCCCTTAAAGCTCTAATACCCTTCTGTATTTATTTACTGATCCAGCTATTAGCTTAAGCAATGATTAGAAAATTTAGTACCTTTGAAATTTGAAATCCATAACCACAAAATTAATTTTTTCATCAGTTTTTTTCTCTGTTTACTCAGATGAAATTGGGACCAGTTCACAGGTTAAACTTTAAACATTTAATTTGTGTAAATAAATCCAAAAGCACTTCCCTTAGTTAAGATATTTACAATTTGAAAACATAACCTAAAATTTAAAAGAAATGCACTAGTTGCCAGATAAAGTTCATAAAAGTTGGCAGATTTTGTTTGAATTTACCTTCAGTACAAAAATGAAATAACCAACAATTAATAAAAACGCCAAATTGACAATTTGCATTGTTAATTTTGTCATTTTTGTAATTAAGCTAAATTTAAACAATGCTTGGCAACTTTTTTGAAAGATTTTGGAAACAGTTGTTACCAACCATAACATGATAAATCCACCAGATTAACCTAAAGTTCCTAGTCGATCAGTGGCGTACTTTTTGGTAGGATAAAGGTTATTATACATTATTTTTAGACTTTGGAATTTAGAAAAAAAAAGTTTCAGGTGCTTCTTTATGGACCCTAAGGAACAACCCATTTTAATATATAACATTAATTACATAACACCCTGTATAAACCTCCTCGATATCGTGCCCTACTATTTTCGATGTTTTTATACATGATGGCGCCCACATTTAGATGAAGTGTACGCGGCACGATGGATAGGGCGAGGAGGGCCAATTCCATGGACTCCTCGTTCTCCAGATTTAAATCCACTCGATTTCTTTGTGTAGAAATATTTAAAATCATTGGTGTATGCAGTCCCAATTTATAAAGTTGCGGAATTATTGCGGCGTGTTGTAAATGCTTGTGAATCCATAAAAAATAAACCAGGATTTAGAAACATTAGAAACCATGAAAAACGCGTCCCATAGGAGATTTGTAGAAAGGAACGGCGGTCAAGGAAATAAGATTTGTTGAAAATTGGAAATAAATTGCGTTATTATTGTGGTGAGACATTTTTGATAGTGTTTTTCTCGAAAACGGTTGGCTTCATGACTTGTAACAAGAGCACCTTTTTTAATTAAAATTGTCTGGAGAATTGTATTCCAAGATCCAGAATTTAACAAAACCCAACAAAAAAGGTTAGGAGAATTTTTTATAGCAACTTTTTTTATTTTTACGTGTACAATTTTACTTAAGGAAAAATTTAAATTTATATAAACTATAGTTTATATAAATTTATATATATAGTATATATACTCTCTAAAAATGAATTAGTCAAAAATGACTAATTTAATAGTTATTAGTGACTGCTTTTTCAATTGTATCATGGTTAACCATGGAAAACCATGGTATCCCAAAATTTAACAGCCAATTCTTATGTAAAACTGTCCCCTGAATCCAAAAATGTCAAATGTCAAAAGTTAAAAAAAGTAGAACAGTTTTTGAGATATAAATTTTCCATTTAATAAATTTTGGGAATCCATGGTATTCCATGGTTAACCATGGTACAAGTGAAAAATTAGCCACTAATAACTATTAAATTAGTCATTTTTGACTAATTTATTTTTAGAGAGTAGGTAGGTAGGTACTGTCTAGAAATAAAGCAGCCACTATAATTCTCGTCAATAGCAATTTCATTCCCGGACATTTAGCAGTCAATTCTATGTAAAATTGTCCGCTAAACCCGAAAATGTCGTCAAAAGTTATAAAAGTAGAACAGTTTTTGAGATTTAGTCAACTTTCCATATAATATGGAATTGACTAAATCTCAAAAACTGCTCTACTTTTATCATTTTTGACTGTCTTTTCGGATTCAGGGGACAATTTTACAAAAGAATTTACTATTAAATGTCCGGGATACAAATTGCTGTGAACCACAGTTAATACTGACTGCTTTTTCATTTTTAAAACTAGTCATTTTTGACTAATTTATTTTTAGAGAGAACTTGTTTAAAAATAATATTAATAGATAACGTTAACAGTACAGACAGACAAGGTTAATGTCTGAGTGTTTTGCATTCGCTTGCCTTGAATTTTATTGCATATTAAAATTTTGATCCAAAATTAAAAAATTTTACCCGGTAATTTTAAAATTTAATTCCAAAAGTAAGAAAAATATATTTTTTTATATTTTAATGTTTTTGTATTATCTATGTCAAAATTTTAAAGGTCGGGTATTTTACAATACGCGTATTGTTGGATATTAAAAACACACCCTGTTTCGGCATAGACTTTTATGAAAAATCAAAATAGCCCTAATATAAAAATTATTATTTTTTTAACTATAGATAAAGATAAATATATTAAAAATAACAAGTAGTTTTCCTCTTTAAAATATATATTGATTAAAACATTCGAAAATAAAAAATTATTAACAAATATTTTTGTTTGTTGATCGATCTTCCTATAATGTTTAAAAAGAGATCAAACATAGATTGCAAAAATGAGATAAGAGATTTAAATACTGCTGATTTATCCAAACAAATACTACGCTTAGAAAAAGGCATAAACCTGGTAAATATTTATATAAAAACAATACCGTTTATTTTAACACAGCAGTTAAAAAGGATCATTTAAATCTTTTATACCATTTAACTGCCAAGCTTATTTTAACGAAATGGAATCTTTGGTGAAAATATTGAAAAACCTAATACACACTTTTTGAAAGCAGATTAAATGTTCAGTGAAATTTCTTGCACTTCATCTTCTGGTGCAGTCGTTACTTCCTCTGAAACGGCTTCCAAATATTCCGAAGAATTTTCCAAAACGCTGTGGTCCAAGTGCTCTTCCACGTTTCCGAAGTTCCTGTTTAACTCGTAAAACCTGGGAGATTCCAAGCAATCGATTGCTTCATCGCTTCTGGTGCAAGTGAACATTTCCTAAAAATAACAAAATATGAATGAAATACAGATAACAAAATTTTATATAATTTTATCAAAATTCAAAGAAAAACCAGTTAAAATGTAGGTCAAAATACATATTTTCTTAATTATTTTTTTTATGAAAGCGTGTCTTTAAGTATTACTAGAGTTCAATTATTAGATTCTATAATAGGATATTAAGTATCATGTTTGATAAATGGCATTTAAGTCACGAAGGCAAGGCAATTAGGCAAGAGCGAGTGTTTAGCAAAAACGAGTGTCTAGAAAAGTTTATAAACGGGTTGCATAGTAAAAAAAATAATGTATTACTAATTAATTTAAATATTTTTAAAGAGCGCCATCTATACAAAAATATAGTAACCAAAGTATAAAATTTATAAATTGGGGAATAAAGCCAGCGGTTCTTAAATTATTTGAAATAACTAAACAAAATTAAAAACCAAAAATTATTATAACTTCGTTATTCCTGGAAACTTCGAAAAATAGTATATTACACTACAGGGGCAGAAAGTGTGAGGGCTCTCACACTTTCTGCCCGTGTAGTGTATACTATTTTTCTTATTACCTCGGCCGAAAATACAACCCGGCCGAAAATACGGGAAAAAATTAAATGTGTATTTATGTACCTATCTCCATTTGAAGAGCTTGATAAATAAATAACAGTAGGCCGTGAATTCAGCGGTGCCAATACAGTAAAAATAAAAGGTTGTATTTTAATTAACAAATTACTAGTTTATAACAAATAAAAGTACCATTAAACACTTAAAACAACATAAAAAGTAAAAAAGTAAAAACATAAATTGTTTATTTGTTGTTATAATTGCAAAATTATGGTTTAAAACTGTCATATTTTTGTGTTTCTCATGTTGGCAGTACGAAATTTTAATGTTAAGCACACGACTAAACAATTTTTCTTACTACCTCGACTCAAAATACGTTGTTTCGTCCCCGATTTCACGGCAGAAAGTTTACGTTTCTTGCATTGGTCAAGCTATACGCGCACACTCTAATAGCGGGAGTAAACATTTTTTAGTCGTGTGCCTAACATTCAAATTTCGTACTGCCAACATGAGAAACACAAAAATATGACAGTTTTAAACCATAATTTTGCAATTATAACAACAAATAAACAATTTATGTTTTTACTTTTTTACTTTTTATGTTGTTTTAAGTGTTTAATGGTACTTTTATTTGTTATAAAGTAGTAATTTGTTAATTAAAATACAAAGTTTTATTTTTACTGTATTGGCACCGCTGAATTCACGGCCTACTGTTATTTATTTATCAAGCTCTTCAAATGGAAATAGGTACATAAATACACATTTAATTTTTTCCCGTATTTTCGGCCGGGTTATATTTTCGGCCGAGGTAGTAAGAAAAATAGTATACACTACACGGGCAGAAAGTGTGAGAGTCCTGAACTGCGCGCCATGATGCCCTCGGCTTTGCCTCGGGCATCATGGCGCGCAGTGCAGGAATCTCACACTTTCTGCCCTTGTAGTGTAATATACTATTTACTCCCGCTATTAGAGTGTGCGCGTATAGCTTGACCAATGCATAAAACGTAAACTTTCTGCCGTGGAATCGGGGACGAAACAACGTATTTTGAGTCGAGGTAGTAAGAAAAAGTAATTTTCACATATAAATCTACACATTAATCTTATTTTGATCCAATTTCTTCGCTACTATATTTTGTTTTTATAATATACTTATAGTTTAATATATCGTTAAATTCCTTATTTTTTCCTATCTAACCATGTAAAATTCCAATATGGCGGCCAAAGGATAAACAAAAGATAGTAGTGGGCGAAAAAAACACAAATTGGATGAAAATGTAGATAAATGTGTATATTTACATGTGAAACTTACTTCTTTCCTAAATTCCCAGGAACAACGAAGTTATAACGATTTTTGGTTTTGTCAGGTTTTTATGGGTTTTCAAATTATTTAAGAACCGCTGGTTTCTTTTTTAATTTATGAATAATTAATAGACTTGTAGCTATTTAAATAAAAAAGATACCCACACATAGAACTTCCATGATAGAAGGATACTTGGTCCGTACTGTATAAGCAATTTTTCACTGTGAAAGTGAAGAGGATACTTTTGTAGGTACCCTACCCGAAATTATTATTTTTTTATAGGCAAATACTAGTTTGCTACCGGTAAAATCAAATGGTCAGTACAAACGTGTATATATAAACTTTAAAAACTATTTAATAATTTTGTATTTTTGTAGTTATTAAGATAATAAAATAATTTCCATATTTTAGTATTATTTTTAAGAAGGCATTTTGACTATTGTATGACATTTGACAACTGTCAACTAGCTTAAAGTTAAATTTATAAAATTACTTGTTAATGTGTATTTAATGATTACTTAGTGTTATGAAAACTTTTACAATAATGGGCGTTTTAAAGGTGAAAGTGGAAAAAACTATTAATTATAAAATATCCACATTTTTTTAAATTTAAGATTAAGTATTACATATCCCATTATAATTATAATATTGACGAAACTGTGACTTTATCACTGGCTGAAGTCAGAAACAATGGCTTTTAAGCTTTTTAGTCACGGGCTGAAGTTAGCTTTATTATAAATTGAGAAAAAGTGAGGTTAAATTCGGGTGACAGTTGACAAATGTCAAATTTTTAACAAATAAAATTTTCTTTAAATTCTGTTTTGTGTTAGTCACCTAATCACATATCACATATTTACCATTTAAAATGAATTATAGTTTACTTAATGGTTTAATCATAAAATAATTAATTTATATAGTTTACCCAAAATCTGAAAAAAAATTCTTTGAAATCATATAAAAATAACTATTTGTTATTTTGTTTAGTCCAGTAATTTAAATCTATTTGAAACAGTTATATTTCTATTTATTGATAATATACTATAGTATGGCTTCATACTTTAAATTATAATGACATCGTTTTAAACTTATAGGTACCTTAAGTTTGTTCACGTTCTAAATGCGAATTCTATCACATCAGGTTTTCGCACGTCAAAATATTTTTTGTATTTTTTTTTCAATATCAATCTTTGAGAATTCGAAAGTTTCGAATCGAATCGAAACAAAACAGGTTTTTTGGTATCTGTTAGAGGTGTTAATCCCGGAATCCTGTAAAAACCGATCCCGAAAATCTCGGGATAAAAGGTCTAAATCCCTTAATCTTTAATACTTTTTTTCAAGCGTATAATAATTTAATAATTTTTAATATGACAGGTCTATAAAGAAAAACTTTATATTAATACTATGTTAAAAGTCAACTTATTATCAACCTCCGTACAAAAATGAAGCTAAAATGTCTTCATGTCAGTTGAACCTAACCTAAATATGATGGGGCAGAATCTTAAAGAAATATAGATTAGATGGCATAAATTATATGGAAAACAACAAAACACGTTTTTTTCTAATTTTGAATTCAATTTTTTTTAAAGATTGACAACAATGTCAAAGTCGAATTTAAATTTAGTGCTCCGGAAAGATATTGAATAATAAGTAATTATTGAAATTGATTGATTTATCTAAGATATAAAAGAGTGCAATTTATTACCAAAATTAACCGTCGAGCTTTAAAAAGACACATTTTCACGCTATTCTGTTACCTGGTTAAAAACAGTCTCTTCCGGACAAATGAAGCTCCATCTGAAGGTTTGGTTCCTGCCATCTGAGTAGGTGATGGGCAAACACACGTGGAACAGTTGGCAATCGTTTTCCACGTCGGCATAGTAACCGTAATCCCGACCCTCGCAGCTGAACGAGTCGCTTATGTCGGCCCTTATGCTTGTCGCGTTGCTAGGCAATGACAGCAACTGTGGGGGAGCTGGCTCCACGTTCAACTGTAAAATGTTATGGTTAATGGAGTATGCGAATTTTATGTGGTTAGTAAGAAAAACCTTTAAAACTAAAAAGATTGATGGATATATTTTAAGAAAATTAAAAAAAAAATAGTCCTCAATTCATTCAATAAGCCAGTATAAGTTCTATTTTAAATGCAAATAATTATTTTCGACATCTGTATTTTCTTGATTATTGATTCTTAATTCTTCTTCCATATTGAAGTATAAGCTCTAGAAATTCTATATAGCCATGGATGCTTACAAAAAGAATAAAAACTCTTATTATTTATTCTTTTAAAACAGTGATCTTGAACCCAAATTCAGTCCAAAATCTCAAGAAAGAATTTGGTTGCAAACCTGATTTCTACTTTATTTTTATTGGACAAGCAGACATCATAAGTCTATAATATATTATATAGGGTTGCAATTTGAATGCTTATATTTTTCTAAATATAAATTAATCATCAAAAATTTAGGAAAGCTGTGTGATGAATTGTTAAATTGAAAATATTCTAAGGAATAATTTGTTTTCTAAAATTAGAATTACTTTTAACTATTTTTAGAGTAATATAAACACTAATAAAACTGTTCACAAAATCATCAAACTAACCCTTAATCGTGGGGCACCATTCACTAAACAGAACAAAACAGGTAGAAGGCAGATGATCTTCATTTTGGCAGTAAGGTGCTAAGGTAACTTGAAGTGATTTGATGGACACACTCTTTGGTAACTATCACAGTTATGTGACGGGACAATAGTCGAATAGTTTATATAGGAAACGATGAAGACATCAAGAAAAAGACAGCGAATAAAAAAGTCCAACAGACGGAAGCGTTTTGAATTTTTAATGAGGAGATATGGGACTCCACACAGACTAAAGAAAAAATAATTAAAATCCTAAGAGGATGTTAAATATATTGTAAACGCATTTTTCCTACCTTTAGAATTAAAATTAATTTTTGTAGACCTGAATAATCCAAATATGGTTCAGCTGCCTATTAACAAGGTTTTAATTAGATTTCGTTATTGAAGTAAATTGTAAAATTCTTTAAGAACGTTTTTGATAAATTTGGATTTTTGTCAAACATCTCCAAATTTAATTATAAATAAGAATGCGTCTTGGCACCGATCTGAATTTTGCGAATTTTTGCGACCAGTATAAATAATAATTTATTCCATTTTTGTAATGTAAATAATTTATTTAAAAATTTGGTACCAGTAAGGCACCAGTTAGTTAATAAGCGCTTAAAATTCAGTAGGTATTAGCACTTAGGTACTTAAATTAGTACATGTGCAACGGTACTGCATTTTGGTTTTCCGTTACCAAAAAACATAGATCATTAATTCAACGTTAGTTTTATTTAGTATTGTATTACATTGTAGTAGGAAGAACGTATATGACATAGTGGACTGAGTTTATATGTATAGTATACTTTGTATTATAATATTATGAACGTTTGTAATGATCTTTTGATTTCGTCGTAGTAGTTTCTGTCGATTGTTAGTATGTTTTAAAGGGATCAATAATTGTTAAGTTTAATTAAAATAATAACGGGCAATTTTAATGCTGTCAAAAATGTTTATTGGGATGGTTACTTTATTTTCGTATAGATGCCGCCTTATATAAATATTTAATTTAAATATTTTTTTAGATAATATTAAGTATTTGACGTAGAAAAAGCATATAAACTTTTCTAAGCACTAATTTAATTAGGCACTTGCTTGCAAGCTCGCTCGTGCCTAAATTAAGTTCGTGTATAAAATGGCGTTTATCAAACATTATACATAATATACTTTTCTTTGTATATTCCCTGGGAGTTTCTTGTTGAGTCTAATGTTTTATTTTTATTTCTCAATATTTCGTTTTTGCTCTTTCTATGTCTAGTTGTTCTCGTTCTCTAGTATAATGTTTAGGTGTGATGGATTTTTTTCTAAAGGTACTTCTTCATCCTTTATCTTCTTTGTTACAATCTTGTGCACTAATTTGTGAGTTTCTAATTATCTCAGTTCTTCAATATTTACTTGTGTGTTTTTGTTCGTTCTGTGCATGATCTTTAGAATTTTTTTTTGATATCGTAAGGATTTTTTGGAGGTTTTATTTAAAAAGGTATAAAATATGACAGTTGGCTTTTAATATAAGAATCATAAACAAATAATATTTTTTTTAGGGAGCGTTGGAATTATTTTGTACATTCGATATGTATGTATGTATGAATAGAGTGTTTCATGGAACTTTGAATGTGTTGCTTATAATTTTGTTTCTTGTCGATATTTAATCACAGGTATTTGATTGTTGTAACTTAATTTTAATATTTGTTCTTGATTCAAAGTGTATAATGTGGCATTTTTATGGTTAACCCAAAAACCAACACGCATATCTCAATAATACCATCAAGCTTAGTTCATACTACGATTCGTTCATAAAGTGTTAATTTGTATTTAATTTTTGATTTGATTGTGTTGAAGAATAATCTTCCTTTTTGGCACAATAAACTAATTTTAATATTCTAATAAAATATTTTTTATACAGGGTGGTCTAGTTTACCATTAAGATTTCACCAGCTGATTTTATCAGAATATTTACTTATTTTTATTTTAACGAGATTAGTAACTTAATCCGAGGGGTAAACCACTGATTTAAAAAAATTTAAAATCGCTTACGAATTAACGGCTAAGGATAACAATAACAAGGGTAAGCATGCGCAAGTCGTCGCTAAGCACTGATTAAGCAAGTTTTCTTTATTGATAACGACTGATAAGGAAACACAACGTCCATTAACATTGAACGTTGGTCTCTAAGATTTTAAAGTGGTTTACCCCTCGACTTAATCCGATAAAACCGACAAAAGATAAAACTAATGAATAAGGCAGGAAACTTATCTATGGTTTCTTTTCAATGATTGAAGGGTGTAAACAGCTTTTAAAATAAACTAATCAACCAAAGGATCGGTACACCCCCAAATTTTATCATTTATGTTTCTTCAAAATCTACAATTTTTGATATTTTTTATGAATCTATTCTTTTTATAGCTTACTTTGAAATGTAAATTCACTTGTTGTGTTACTATTATTATTATTTATAATCTGTGCTTTACTTTTATGTAAAAAATCTAGAAAGTCAAGGTTAAAACCTACACACTTCCACCCAACAGATTGCACACAATTTTAGTGCTGGTGACAATACAATATAGTATACCGTATTTTCATGTTTGGTGTATACATCTGACACATTATAGTCTAGAATGGTATGTTTCAAAATTATTCGACAGTCAAGTCTAAAATTACAACTTCAAAGTCTTCTAGCCCTGAAACTGACCAATATCATATAGGAAAAATATAGCCAAAACTACTGGGATCCATTTTTATATGTTAAAAAATTAAAAAAAGTTGAAAAAAGGATTTTTTAGACTTTAAAACTCATTTTTGCAATACAATTTAAATAACTAAATATATTTTTTTATCTACCCCTACATTGACCAGCTGTGACTTTTAGTCACGGGCTGACGTTAACAACAGTGGCTTTTGGGCATTTTAGTTACGGGCTGAAGTAAGCTTTATTATAAATTGCGAAAAAGTGAGGTTAAACTCGTCAAATGTCAAATATTTATGAATTAAAATTGACTTTAAATAGAACAGGTTTTTAGTCACGGGCTGAAGTTGGCTTAAACTTCGTACAAATATGAATTGCTATACTCTCTAAAAACGAAATAGTCAAAATTCTACTATTTGAATTAGTACCAGCATTTTTTACTAATAAAATAGTCGTTTTCACTTTTAAATAGTTATTTTTTACTACGTTAATAAAAAGTTTGACTAATTTAAGATTAGTCACCATCTTTGACTATTTCTGAGAGTTAAAAGTAACTTATTTCTTTAATCGTTTGCGGCCAACAACAAAGTATTATTTGAATTAAATGCATATACCTAAGCTCCATGGTTAAATGACCCATAAAAACAAATAAAGATGCAAAAAGTTTAGCTCAAAACAGCAACACAAATAATATATTCAACTTTAAAATATTATGAACAATATTTATTGACAAATAAAATTATAAGAGCGGCTGATGGCCGAATGGGTTATGACAACAACTTAACAAGTGACAGACCTGAGTTCAATCCCAGGCTGGGTCAAAACATTTTTAAAATCTACTAATTTGACTATTTCATTCAGTAGAATTTGACTTATTATTAGTGACTGCTTTTTTGCTATGAAAATTAGTCAAATATGACTTATAATTAGTTATTTTTGACTAATTCATTTTAAGAGAGTATAGTACGCATTTTCATTAAATCTTAATTTTTCAGCACCCTTTACGTACATGTAATTGAATTTTTAATGGGAATCCTATTTTTTAAACCAGCAGATTTTATGAACAATGATTTTTTTTGTAAAACGCATAATTTCCTATTGGCAACCCGATCCAGGGAAACACATATGTATACATATATGTTATTGCAAAAAAATAAAAATAATTTTCTAGATTATCTTTTTGAGAAAACCATTTTTTCATATTTATTAAATCTTTATATTTAGGGGTGTTCCGACCTCTTTGTATTTACTTAAGTGATAAGCAGATAAGATTAATAGGTTTAACACTCAAAAAGATGTCTTGGTGGGTGTTCTTTATCTTCAAATTGTATAATTCTAAAGTCAATTTGTGCATACACGTTTAATAATTTCCATCATTTTGTTGATTAAAATTTATTGTCCCTTATGACAAGTAAGTAAGTAGACAGTGATTGCCACTGACAACATTAGGCTTCTTGCAAGATGAATGAGTTTATTCAACGCATGCACATTTCTTTGTACCGACCAATCATATTTTACAATTTCAGTGTCATTGTTCTACTAAAACCTGCAGTGAATAGTAAGTTTTTTAACGTGATTTAAAAATAGGTATATGTCTGTCTGTTTGAAAAAATGCATTAGTGGTTTTATCTTAAAATTTAAGTGATTTAGGAATTAAAATACCATTAGGAGCACCCTTATTTTAAAATAACTCTACTATTTTTACTACAAAATTTTATTCTAACATAACGTTATACAAAATTCAATAAATTAGAGAAAATCTAAAATATTTTGTAAGAAAACGTATGACTAGTAACTCAAAACAAAAATTTACAAAAGTATTACACTGTTCCCAATTGTTTTTATTTAATTTACAATGCAAATCTTCCTGAGATAGTTATGTAAAAATCTATGCAGGTATGGTTTTTAATTTTAATATAAAATTTAAATATCAGTTGTGTATATACAATATAATAAGAGATATATGACATATTTTTACAGTTACACAAATATTTGATTTTTTATGAATAAGTATACTTAAAACCATACCTAACTTATTAAGAAACATTTAGGAAATAAATTAAAATAAATTAAAATAAATAATCTTATATTGTGCTACATTTGGCACAAACTGGGTAAACTTATAATTAAAACTATTCTATTACATCCCTTAAATTAAAGTGAATTTCCCCAAAATGGTCAAGTTAAATTATACTAAACATGGTTAAATAAATAAAATATTTCTCTTGTAAAAATAAATAATTTTCTCTAGTTTAATTTAAATGACCATAAATAAATAAAATAAATTTGAAATAAATAAAACCCTACATAGTATTCTTAAGTCTATTTCGTTTTATCCAAGCCACGAAAAGTTGGGTTTGTTGTCCACCTTTGAGTATCCAGTACCTACGGGTTTTTGGCTGGCGTACGCCATATCTTGGGCAGTTTTCTGTCCTTCTGGTACTTCGTAGGCCCTTCCCCAATAACCTTCACCAGGACCACTAAAAAGATTTTTGATTAGGATTAAAATTTATTTTTACACGCTGTTATAAAAATCAGATTTTGTAGTTTGTTGATTTTATTTTTTTAAATTTTAACATTATTCTTTGTAGAAAACCAGGGTTTGTAATTATTTTAACAAAAAAAATATTTTACCGAAAGTTTTGTAAAGGTAATATGCATCAACAAGTTCAACTGACTTCAGCGTCTTCAACTTATGTTTCTGCTTACTTTATTGTAATTCGTAACGTGTTTGTAACAACTATTCATACTGTTACTGTTATTATTTTTATTCCGATTTTTTATACCTATTTAACGAGTATCACCATTCAATGTGTCGCGACCAAAAAGTTCGACCTTTTTCAAAACGACATAACTCTTTTGTTTCTTAAATGGTTTTATTTTTGTCTGAGATGTCTGCTAGCCTCATCCTTTAGCAATTCATGCAATAGATATGAAGCTCAAGTTTCTTTAAGTAAATTTCCGATAGGGTGATATGTAAAGCGGTGAAAAATTTCAATAACTTCATCCAAGCCCCGTTTTTTTCTTGTTTTTAATTTGAAATAATGAAGTTTTTTAAATTTTTCGAATTTGAATCTTAACAACGAAAATATGATTTTTTTCAAAAGAGTACATTTGAGGCTTTTTTGTAGGCAATACACTCAGTCTTTTTAAGAGCAAAAAGATAAGATTCTGAAAAATAGTTCCTTGAATAATTTTAAACAAGCGACAAGCAACAAACTTCCATTATTTTCAGAGGGGCCTAACCAAAGACCACATTATGGTGAAAATTTGCGAAAACTAAACCTAAAGCGATATTTACGTTCGTGATATGTTTTCTTTATAATTTTGACCTCCTGATTGTAATTCAGTTGTCAAATTTAGGTTTTCCGGTTCTAAAATGTTTCAATAAAATCCGATTGTAGGCGTGCTCGTAGCTGCAGCAAAGTCTGGCATTGGCATTTCAATTATTTAAAGGAAGAATGGAAGTAACCTGGGTAAGATAGTGATAGGTATGTAGGTAGGTAGGTATACCTTATGCTAAAAAAGTTCGACATTTGGAAAAACACAAGCCAACTGAAAAAAAAAGAATATCCCTCATAATGTTTTTTAAATGCTTTTCAAGAAATAATTTTAATCATTTGATCCTGGATTTGATTATTCAGCGACATGATAATAACGTACTAAAGATGCAAAATACAGTAAAAAAAAGTAAAAGCCAGCAATCGAAATTTAATGAGACATTTAAAAGCCGGGAATTGTTATCGAATTTTGATTTTTGGTTTTATCTGAAACTTAAATTTGACAACTAAATCACAATGTCAAAATTATGAAGAAAACATGTCACGAACGTAAATATGGGTTTGGTTTTTGCATTTTTTACCAAAATGTCATTTTGAAAAAGTGGTATTTGTTGCTTGTTGCTTGTTCAAAATTATTTAATTAACAATCTTTCACCATCTTTCTTCTTGTTTCTAAAAACACTGAGTGTATTGCCTACAAAAAAACCAAATGCACTCATTTGGAAAAAAACCATTTTTTCGTTGCTAAGATTCCAATTCGAAAAATTTGAAGGAAGAATGGAAGTAACCTAGGTAAGATAGTGATAGGTATGTAGGTAGGTGGGTATAACTTATGCAAAAAAAATTCTAAATTTGGAAAAACACAAGCTGTTTACGCTTGGCCCATATCTTATAAATTATCTGTTTAACAAGTGCATAATATTTACAAGTAAAAGCAATTACCAAGAAAAGGGAGAATCAATTCTGCTATGACATCTGGAAGATATTAGCCGTCAAGTGGCTGCAACGCCCTCCCCTTTTGGTGTATTTTCTACCTAGATTTTAGTATTTTAACATTAAGAATTTAAACTTAGTCATATACACAACCATGTTAAAATAAAGTTTTGTTTTTTGTTAAACCATCTTTTAATCGCGCAACATACTCAACATACTCAACGCAACGAACACAAGCCAACTGAAAAAAAAGAATATCCATCATAATGCTTTTTGAATGCTTTTCAAGAACTAATTTTAATAATTTGATCCTGGATTTGATCATTCAGTGACATGATAATAACGTACTAAAGATGCAAAATACTGTATTTTAAATACAGTAAAAACAGTAAAAGCCAGCAATCGTAATTTAATGAGACATTTAAAAGCTGGGAATTGTTTTCGAATTTTGATTCTTGGTGATTTTGGTTTTATCTGAAACTTAAATTTGACAACTAAATCACAATCAGGATGTCAAAATTATGAAGAAAACATATCGGTTCAGGTTTAGTTTTTGCAAATTTTTACCAAAATGTTATTTTGAAAAAGTAGTCTTTGTTGCTTGTTCAAAATTATTTAATTAACAATCTTTCACCATCTTATCTTCTTGTTTTTAAAAAGACTGAGTGTATTGCCTACAAAAAACCAAATGCACTCTTTTGGAAAAAACCATATTTTCGTTGCTAAGATTCCAATTCGAAAAATTTGAAAATCGTAAATCATAATATTTCATTATTTTAAAGTAAAAACGAGAGGAAACTTTTTTTACAAACCGTTTTACATATCACCCTGTAGGAAATTTACTTGAAGAACCTTGAGGTCCATGTCTATAACATGAATTGCCAGAGGATGAGGCTAGCAGAAATTATAGACCAAAATAAAATCGATCAAGAAACAAAAAAGTTATGTCATTTTAAAAAGGAACGAACTTTTTGGTCGCGACACATTGAGTGGTGCGCAGTTTATATATAACTTGATTATTTTAGAATAATGTGTTGTTTAATTGTGTGTATGTTATTTTTGTTTAGGAAATTGATTAATTAAGCAACAATTTTTATCAAAATTCTTTTCATTTATGTTCCCAATTTCCAACAAATACTTTTGTTATTGGGTCTACAAAAAGGTTTGTAAAAATAAGGTCCTTTCACAAGAATTATGGTTGAATTATTGATATAGGATTTTGTTATTAAATCTACAAAATTATTGATATAATTACAAAATACTTTTTCAATTAGTTAACTGATTACAGTTGGTTGTAAACTAAACATAAATTTATGTGGACCCGGATTAACATAAAATATGGTTAATATTTTGTTAAAATTAACAAATATTTGTTGACTGTGCATATTTTCAAAATCAGGATGTTTTAGAAAATACAAAACCCAAATCATGACAAGAATAGACGCATGTTACGTACCTGTGGCCATGGTCGTGCCCATATTCCTCTCCATCAGTCTCATAGTGATGTTGATGTTGAGCGTTTTCGTAGTAAATCACTTTTTCTGGCGCGTGTTTCTTCTTCAGGTCTATCCAGAATCTGGCGGCGTTCAAGGCCAGTCCTCCCAGCGCGATCAGCAGGAATTTGACCTGCAGATGAGCCATGAAGATTTTCAGTACACATCCGAACAACACTTTCAATACTCCTCCAACCACCAAGGCTTTAATGGCAGCGATCAGTTTGTGGATCTTGTGTTTTTTCTTTTTTCTTGCTTCTAAAAAAACAACATTAATTTAGTATATTTAAAATTATAATATACAATATTATTATTACTAAGTATCTTAGCAATTTAAATAATTCCCTATGGACATTTATTGGGATTGGCTATCGTTTTTTATTATTATCTTGCTTATCCTTTGCGTTGGATAATTTTAATTTTCAAGTACCTGTTTTGCATATTTTTCGGCACTTTTTTCTATGGCTCGAGTTCCGGGACACCCTGTATTTTATTTATTTAATTAATACATTTATATATTTTTCAATAACCTAACCAAATAGCTTGTCTTGGCATTAATATACGAGGTGTGTTCAGTAAATATCGGGAATTTTCGTGTTTTGAAACAAATATTTATTTATTCGTCTACATTAATGTTGTTGCCTTCAAAATAGTTCCCCAGACAGAGGTATGTCTGGCGAATATGGAGGCTGGGGCATCATTACAGTATTGTTTTTGTTCAAAATTTAACAATTTTAGAACAAATTTTTCTGCCACGCGTTTCATACCGAAAAAATTTCATGGGATGAGCCAATCGATATACCAACATCATCAGCGACTTCTCTGATGGTTTATAACCATTTCTTCCATTTTTTCCATGTTTTTATCGGTGTTAATGTGCTTGTGCGCCCCGAACGTTCGTTCGTCATCTTCAACGTCTTCACGGCCATCATGGAAACTCTTATACCACTTGTAAACTCTTGTTTTACTTATAGCAGACTCACTATAGGCCTTTGTTAACATTTCACAGAATTTATTTAATTTTTAAGCAAAATTGGATACAAATTCTTTGATCCATTTCTTTTATCGAACGAAAAATCGCCGAGCTCATAAAACACGTCTAACCTTAGCGGCTGCCACAGACAAAGTAAACAATGAAAACAGCTAAAGTTTTTATCATACTTCGGAAGCATGTATACCAACATAATAAAGAAAATTTTATGACAACCGGAGCCTCCGAACCCGCGTAATTTAACAATTCCCGTTATTTTCTGAACACACCTCGTACACTGATTTCAAAAAAAAAAGACAAATATTTTTTAAACACAATTTTGGTTTTATTTTATAACCCCTATTATTTATTAAATAGTAATTTTTTAAAATTATCTAGGAATTATATTAAAAAGTAAAAATTTATGGAAGGTATGCATGTTTTTAATAATAAAAAAATTAATCAATAAATATTTTTACCCAAGTTTAATGTTAGGGGTAATTATTTTACAATGAAACCAAAGAAAGTAAAAATAAATAGATTTCAAGCATCCAGCTTTTCAATCAGACAAAAAAACAGCAAAGATATTTAATATAATTAACATGGTAGTAATGTTATTTTTTTAATTATATCTTTGTTATAGCATTGAGTAAGACAACATCTTACTCAATGGTTATAGGTATGTTAACCTTCTGAATTTATTTTTTATATATATATATTTACAAACAAAAATACTGTCTATTTTTATCCATATTTTAAATCAGTCGTCAACGACTGATATTAATTTTATCAACCAATTTACATTTTAGATGATTTCATTGGCCAAAAAACAAATCTAGTAAACCATGACTTATATTAGCGAAATTATTTTCTATGGTTAAAAGCAGAGTCATTCCAAATAAAAACACCAAATGGGGTGCGCCGCTTGATTTTTTATTTTGATAAAAAAAAATTGAGGATGATCTTTTAGGTATCAAATATGAAAATCCGTTGCCGTTTTAGTTTTTGGATTCTTTACTTTTAATCGGCACCCTTTAGAAATCTGAAATCGTGTCAATTTCTTACTCTCTTATAGTGGGTCAGAACCTTTTTTCTGTGACAAATATTGAAATGATTTTAATTTTGTTTTACTGTTCAGTAAGTGTGTTTTCGATATAAATTATTATTATCCAATTAGTTAATCTCATAAAAGAATAGTAAACCACTAAAGATTCATGATAATTTGCCAATTTTTGTGATTTTTGTCTGGCTCCTGTGCCTATTCTACTAAATCTAGAAAGTTATTTTTTTCAGGTATTAAAAAAAAAGCTCATTTTAGTTCCACCCTTACTTCCTAAAAAGTCCCAGAAGCCAACTGAATGGCTTGAGCGGGTTAGGGGTAGGAACGGACCGCGGGCTTAAGTCCCCTCCGAAGGACTATTACACAATAGGACAAATACAAATAAACAGCCATACCCCTAGTGGGATTCGAACCCACGACCTCTAGGCTTGTAGTCAGCAGCACTAACCACTAGTCCACCGTCGGCGGTAATTAATACAATAGAAAACTTAACTATTATTTTAAGTTTTAAGACTAACTAGACTGAAAAGATGAAGATGGGGACTACATTTCCTGAATGTTTTAGATTTTTATTTTTTCCTCAACATAATGATTTCTGAGGGCAAAATTGGCTAATTTTGAAAATTATCAAGTTTCAATAATTTTTTTAATAAAGAAAATGATAGTCTAGAAACTTAAAATAATAGTTACGTTTTCTATTGTATAAGTACTTGATACCTGAAAAAAAGCAACTTTCTAGATTTAGCAGAATAGGCACAGGAGCCAGGCAAAAATCACAAAAATTGGCAAATTATTACAAATCTTTAGTGGTTTACCATTCTTTTATGAAATGAACTAATTTGATAATAATATTAAATATTGAAAACATACTTACTAGGCAGCAAAATAAAATTACAATCATTTCAATAATTGCCACAGAAGAAAAGTTTTAGCCTCTTATAAGAGAGTAAGAAAATGACACGATTTCAGGTTTCCGAGGGTGCCGATTAAAAATAAAGCAACTAAAAAGGCAACGGTTTTTCATATATGATACCTAAAATATCATCCTAAAATTTTTTCATTAAAATAAAAAATCATGCAGCGCACTTTTAAATTCATTTTTGGTGTTTTCATTTGGATTGACTAAGCAAATATAACAAATGTCAAATAAATCTTTTATGTCTAATTTCTAATGTCAATGTATAGAAATCGACTTTTATGGGAAAATATAAACGCTGAAAGATAATTAATTACCCAATTTATTTTATAAAACAAAAGTTTTTAAAGAAAATTACTACGTTGCCATGTCGTGCAAAAACCAATATCGACTGATATGCTTAATCAGTTGATATAAATAAATCAACGTTTGTGCATACGGCCCTTAATTTTATATTTTAATACAACCAATTTTGACAAATTTTTAAACAACTTAAATATACTACTTTTTATAAAAAAAATTAATTTATGCAAATAGGTAACAAAAAAATAAATAGTTTTAAATTTCAAGAGAGAAGATATCTTGCAAGTTGAAATAGTTAGAGCAATTATTATTTTACAAGAACTTAATACAGCCCCTCAAAGAAGTTGGTATGATTTTTGCCTTAAAAGGTGAGCAGAATTACATTTTTTCAAAATTCCCACAAGTAACGAAGTAATAAAGATTTTTTGTTTTGATAGATTTTCAGTTATTTTCAAACTATTTGTTTGTTTGTTTTTAATTGTAACGTATGGAATGTCCCAACATATATTTTTAAAACTTGGTTTTAAGGGGAATCCATTATGTAAAATTAATACTAAAATTTGTAAATATTTTCATTTAATATGCAGAAAAAAGTTTTCGCATACATACCACACTTTGTGGTTGTGCATAATTTTATTTATTTAAAAACAAATAAATTATGTTTTATATCACGACTGGGTATCATAATACATAACATATTAACGGTATTTTTATTAATACAATAGTCTGTTTAAATATTAATTTTAAGAAACAATACTGTTAGTAACCTCAATATTAGATGCAAATATTGACAAACCTATCTATTTCAATATTTGCTTTAACAGCTTCTTTTAGCAAATGAGAACAAATAATAGTGATAACTTTTGGGTCACAATTATAACATATAGTATATTATTTAACACAAAAAGTTTCATATAATCCATCCATTTACAAAAAACCGTTTTCTCTCGTTCATGAACTTTTTATTTACCTTCTACAAGTGCCCTGCTTTTGCTGGCGTCTTTATCTTGATCACCTTCGGTTTCTTCAGCGCTGCTTTCTTCGATTTCATCGCCATCTTCGGATTCTTTGCCGCTCCTAAAGAAGCTAGAAAGACCTTCTTGCAGCATTCCGGACAGTTCTTCGATCATCTTCGTTATCGTTTCGGCCAAAGCTGAAGGAGGATGGTCCGTATCTGCTGCCCTTCCGGTGATTTGGAAAGCTCTTGCATTAGCTTCAGCTAAAAAAAATTATAATTGAATATAGTATAATTACATTTTAAGATTAATTAAATTAACAAATGTATCAATTTTTTGACAAAAATATATTTTTTTTGGTAAATAAAGAAAATTAGGTATCTGTATAAAATTAAACCTTATGTAAGACCAATCAAATAAACACATACAAATTTTATATTAATATTTCAAGCAAAAGGGATGAATCTGTCATAGGTAGTATGTCCTTACACAAAGTAACTTGTAATAGTATTTTTATCCGACTCTACTTGTAAAAAAAATTCGTTCTTCGATGAAAAAAGATTTTTATGAAAAACGCTCAGACATGTAAACTTTAGTTTTTTATTTAAAATCTTATAATTAAAATTTTAAATTTTTTGGCCACACCATTTTCCCTCCACCACATTTATCTTAGTAGGACGATAGTTTTCAATACAGGGTGGAAATGTAATGAAAGTTATAAAACTAAACTTTTAATATTAAAAATAATTAAAAATTTCAAAATAACTGTTCAAAATGTTCCCGTTCACTTCCTGGGGTTATGTTCCTAATTTCTGCATTCTTTTTCTTACTCTCTAAAAATGAATTAGTCAAAAATTACTAATTTAAAAGTTATTAGTGGCTGCTTTTTCACTTGTACCATGGTTAACCATGGAATACCATAATATTCCAAAATTTATCAGCCAATTCTTATGTAAAATTGTCCCCTGAATCCGAAAATGTCGTCAAAAGTTAAAAAAGTAGAACAGTAGTCAATTTCATAATTTTTGACGGTATTTTCGGATTCATGGGACAATTTTAAATAAGAATTGGCTGTTAAATTTTGGGATACCATGGTATTCCATGGTTAACCATGGTACAAGTGAAAAAGCAGCCACTAAAAAATATTAAATTAGTAATTTTTAACTAATTCATTTTTAGAGAGTAATTTATCCAAATTAGCAGGTTGTTTTTTAGATGTCCCTATAGGAAAAAGTCTAGAGGTGTTAGATCTGGTGATCTTGCTGACCATTCTATGAAACTTCTTCTTCCGATCCTCCTGTGTGGAATGGTGTCATTTTAATATTTCCATACACAAAAAACTAAAGCATAGGATAACAATAACAAATTCATAACCCAACCCTGTATTGAAAACTATAGTTTACTAAACCCTAAACCCTTTACATATATGTTTACTAAACCCTACTATTAATTTTCGATGAAAAAAGTGCGGGTGGTTTAATTAAAGTTTACATGTCCTAGCGTTTTTTATTCCAAACCAAATTATTCCATAAGTGTATACCTAAATAAATGTTATTTAAGGAAAATGGTATGTCGAAAAAATTAATAATTCATATTGTTGGACAAAACTTTCTTTTTCGGATTAAACAAATCTGACATTTATCTTAAAAATATTTGGTAACTTTCCAATAAGAACGAAGTAGACCGGCTCATGACATATTAACTTAAAAAAATAAAACCGCCTTTTTGTACAGTTAATATTCTTTATTATATGTATATGTGCCCACATACAAATAATTAATTATATGCTTAAAAATTGTTGCCAAAATTTCCCACATTAATTTGAGAAAAAGTTTATTTTCTGGCCACGAATGTGCCACTTTGAATTGTGACGGTATTATATGTGGCCGCTATGTAAAAAACAGTTATTTTACGTTCGGTGAATAATTGATTTTAAAAAATGCGTCTGTCTGTATAAAATAGTACAAAATATATACTGTGGTAACGAATAAAATAATTTAAGGAGTAGTTATAATTTATTTGGCTATAAAATAAAAAATGTATCTACTATGTTCAATTATTATAATATGTACGTTTTTTTTTAAATAAATTTTTATTTTATTTTATTAAAAAAAAATTAATAACTGCATGCACATTATCGCTAAATAATAAAACAATTTTCATTTGAATATAATGGGAATTCCAATATAAACCTGTTAAAAAGCGGTAAAAAATAAAGTTATTCTTTTAATTAAAATGTAGGTAGTTACCATGTATCATGGGTAGTTACCTACTTATAATATTTATTCTTTAAATCAGCGTGCGCATGTGATTCACGCATTCCGAATATATTTGTGCAGTTTATTGATAAATTTTAAACAGGAAAGCAACATACTTGTCTCATTCCTTATAACAATTTTTTATGCATAGCGTCTGGAATTCAGATCGTTGGCCCCATTATTTACAAAGTTGTTGAAATTTCCTTAATTATTACGTTATTCAAAGTCGATAAACGATTATTATTATTCTAAAAATAAAAAATTATAAGTTATATCTAATAATATTTCTATTTTTAGAATCTTTTTCACCTGTAGATAGGTATACCTATCTACAGGTGAAAAAGATATATATCTTCAGTGGCGGCCCGTCAGGGGAGGCAAGTGAGGCAGTGCCTCATCATAGATAATTAAAAAATTAAGTATAATTTAAATATTTTACTTTCTATAATATACTATAAATTTTTAATATTTGGATTACATGCATTGTGAAATAGTCAATAAAATTGATTGATTTTATACGTGGAATACCCAGCAACATTTAAATTATTTGAATTTGAAACGACCGCAGTTTAAACTAATATTTATAGCTAGATGATTGGCTCAGAAGCATGCCTGAACTAATTTAGACTCACGATTGGCGTTAGCCTTGTTGTCTCGTTCTATTACAATGCGATATCATAGTTGTCTCCTTCTCTCGTATTAGCATACGCGAGGCAGGCACGCCTACATCCAAGGAAATAAGCAGGTGTTGTGGCAACACTGTTGCGGAATTTTAGATAAATATTTATTATAATATAATATATTTATTATAATTATTATTATTATAATATTATACTTCACACATTTTTCAAAATTCAATAATAAATGGTATTATTTTTCTTATAATAAATCGATTTAATCACAGTAACCAATAAAATAAATACAGATTCCTTCTTTAGGTTTGTTTTGGTTATAAAATTCTGAACTGTTATTTACGCAGTATTTTGTTTATTCTTTTTCTATGAGTTTGTCTATTTTATGATTCTTTTGTAAGTGGTTTGTTCTGTGGGTTTAGTTAATTGAACTTGGTGATTTTATGTGAATTTGGTCATTATGGATATTACGGTGAGAAATTGTACCGATATTGTTGATGGTGTACTATTATTAATTTAATGATTTAGGCTTAAACCTAATGGTTATATTAATATTGCTGCACTTTACCTCTACACCTTCACGTGGTTCTTGCTGAACAATGAAATATCAATTAGACAAAAATGAGGTTTATTTAAAATAAACGTCATTTTTACAATAAAATATATTTCATTGACAAAGTAGAGGATTCCTTCCCCACCACAGTCTAAGTTTTTTACTTAGTTTTAAGTATAGGTTGTAAACTGCGACGTCAGTTTTTTTAATTTGGGTTTAAACAAATTTCTTCGCCTTTAAATGAGGGCGAAACCCTGCCTCTGCCTCACGAAAATGAAATGTCACGGGCCGCCACTGTATATCTTCATTTTTGTTGTACAACAACATAATATATTTACTATAAAATATAAGTATTAAATAGGTATAGAAGAATTCTATTTTAATATTATTAAAATTATGTAAAGAAAACAGCAAATTTTAGGATACAATAGAAAATAGTATAGAAAACCCAATAAATAAATAAATGTTTTGTTAGTTGCCTACTGTTATAATCTATACCCACAGACAAACTTTGTATGTGTCTATAGGTACCTGTAACGGGGACATGTGCTGCCATGATTATAAATTGTTCCTTTATAAAAGTACCTTACATAGGGGCCGGCAGAAAATAATCCAGGGGAAGCAAACAAAATTACTTGCAATTTTAATTATCCATGTTTAAATATTTAGATGAGCTTTAAATGCGCTTTTGGATAGTATTTTTTTAACTTGCGGCTGAGTTTTTTTTAGTTTTACATCCCCTATATTTCGAAAACGGTTTCAATTTTGTTGTGAAATTTTTGTAAACTAATAGAGAGGGGGGGACATATTTAAACCTATTTTTGACACCTACCCCCTTAGCGTATTTTGAAGGGTGGGGTGTAACTTTGGATTTTTATTTGGGATGTTCTACTTTTTTTTAATTCGAATCTACGAAAAAACTAGGTGTGTGGAAATTTATAATCTAATACATTAGAATTTCATAAGCAAAAGCGTAAATCAAACATTTTTTTTGCACACATACCTAGATTTTTTCGAAGATTCGAATTAAAAAACAACATCCCTATTAAAAATCCAAAGTTACCCCCCCCCCCATTAAATTAGAAAAAGGTGAAAGGTGTCAAAAATATTGGTTTACCAGAATTTCACAAAAAAAAATTAAACCGTTTTCAAAATATCCCCTTGTAACCCTTTAAAAAACTCACCCGGTAATTAGATAACTGGTCACTGGTAAATAACTATTAAAAGTACCCACAAAACATTTATTTGTTTATTAATTAAAAGTGTTACCAACTGACATACTTTGCGAAAAAACGACAACAAAAATTAAAATAAATTTTGTATACTTAGTATAGCTTAAGCTAACTATACTAAGTATACATTTTATTTTAATTTTTGTTGTCGTTTTTTCGCAAATTATGTGAGTTGGTAACACTTAGTTAATAATTAACTGACAGGTGAATTTTATTTACTATTGTTAACTGAAAGATAAGTTTTGTGTAAGTATTGTACTATTTTTAATTATTTTACCGAGATTCTTGTACAATTGAGTATACTTTTAGCGGTGTAAAATGTTACAAGAAGTTTGGGTCAGTTATTTGTCAATGTTTGTTAAAAAAAATATAAATAATCTTAAAAAAAACGAATTTGAGGTTATCAAACAGTTTGACATTTTTGAGGGTACCAATACTTGAAAACTAAATGTTACCAAAAATCGTTTAAGAATGAGCTTCATTCTTCAATGATTTTGCATGCGAGAATATCGAGAAAAATTTTCTTTTTATTTTAGTATTTAAATAAAAAACTTTAAACCTTGTTTGCTCAATATTTTTTACTTTAAA